AAGACTGGCGCTCCCCACCCGTGGCTCCCTGTGTGCCAGAAGCCCTCCTTCCGGGGAACTACCAGGCCGGGAGTGAGCCGCTGGCCCAAAGACCGGTGCTCCCTGCCCGAGGCTCCCCGTGCGCTGGGGGCCCTCCCTCCGGGAGCTACGAGGCAGGAAGCTAGCCAGCCAGAAGACTGGCGCTCCCCACCTGTGGCTCCCTGTGCTCCGGAAGCCCTCCTTCCGGGGAACTATGAGGCCGGGAGTGAGCTGCCAGTCCAAAAACCGGCACTCCCCGCTCTCCCTGTTGTTTTCAGTGTAAAGGTCTTTCACTTCCTTTGTTAGATTAATTCCTAGGTATTTCATTTTTTTGGATGTAATTATGAAAGATGTTGTTTCCCTAATTTCTTTCTCAGTGAGTTTATTATTTCTGTACAGGAGTGCTACTGATTTTTGAATGTTGACTTTGTATCCAGCTATGCTATTAGACTTGGTTATTAAATCTAGAAGTCTTTCAGTGGAATTTTTGGGCTCTTCTATGTCATCTGCAAATAATGATAATGTAACTTCTTTCTTCCTATCCTTATTCCTTTTATTTCTTTCTCTTGTCTAATTGCTTTGGCTAATGTTTCCAGAATTATACTGAATAAGACTGGTGATAGTGGCCATACTTATCTCATTCCTGATTTTAGAGTAAAACCTTTCAGTTTTTGTCCATTTAATATAATGTCAACTGTAGGTTTGTCATAGCTGGCTTTTATCAGATTGAGATAAAAACCATCTATTTAAATTTTTTGTAGGTTTTTTTTTTTTTAGTCATGAATGTTGGATTTGTCAAATGCTTTTTATGTATCTATTGAGATGGTCATGTGGTTTTTGTCTTTGGCTCTGTTGATATGGTGTATAACATTTATTGATTTGCATATGTTGAACCACCCCTGCATCCTTCTTGCTCATAGTGTACAATCTTCTTGATGATTTGCTGCCTTCTGTTTGCCAGTATCTTATTGAAGATTTTTGCAACAATGTTCATTAGTGAGATTGGCCTGTAGTTTTCTTTTTTGATTGCATTTTTCTCTGGTTTTGATATCAGGGTAATGCTTGCTTCAAGGAATGGGTTTGGGAGTATCGCTTCCCTTTTAATTTAATTAGAGAGTTTGAGAAGTAGTGGCATTAGATATTCTTTAAATTTCTAATAGAATTCATAAGTGAATCCATCAGGGCCTGGGCTTTTCTTTGTTAGTAGGTTTTTAATTACATCTTCAATTTCATTCACTGATATTGCTTTATTTGGAATTTTTATATCTTCTTGATTCAGCTTTAGGAATTGATAAGTATCTGGAATCTGTTCATTTCTTTTGTGTTTTCCATCTTATTAGAATACAGGTTCTTGAAGTATGTATTGATGATCTTCTGGATTTCTGCAGGATCTATTGTGATTTTACCCTTTTCATTCCTAATTGCATGGATTTGAGTGTTTCCTTTTTTGATAAGGTTGACTAAGAGTTTGTCAATTGATTTAATCTTTCAAAGAACAAATTCTTGGATTTGTTGATTCTTTTTTTTTTTTTTTTTTGTCTCAATTGCATTAATTTCTGCTCTGTATAGTTTCCTCCCTGCATAAACTTTGCACTTGGCCTGCTCTTCATAAATTTGATGTTCAACACTAGGTTGTTTATTTGAGCTCACTCTGTTTTTCTGACATGAGAATTTAATACTGTAAATTTCTCTCAGAGCACTGCTTTAATTATACCCCATATGTTCTAATATGTTGTAATGGCATTATTATGTAATGGTGGAAACTCTCTCATTTCTCCTTTAATTTCATCTGTGACCCATTGGTTGTTCAGGAAACGTTATTTAATTTTCATGTGTTTATGAAATTTTTGTGGTTTCTTTTGTCCTTAATTTCCAACTTCATTGTGCAATGGTCTTATAATATGCATGGGATAATTTGAATTCCTTGAATTTCTTAAGCATATTCTATGAGCTAGTATATGGACTATTATTGGAGAATGTCCTGTGTCCAGCTGAGAAGAATGTGTATCCTTATGTTGTGGAGGGGAACACTCTGTAGACATCTACTAAGTCCATTTGTCCAAAAATTTGGTTTAGTTCTGATATTTCTTCGTTGATTTTTTTGCCTACTTAATCTATTTGTGATAGTAGGGTATTGAGGTCCCCCATTACAATTTCTTTAGTGTTTACTTGATTTTTTTATGTCTGTTAATATTTGTTTTATATAGTTGGGTGAACTGGTATTTGGTGCATATATATTTGGTTGTTACTTGTTCTTCTTGGATTGTTCCCTTTATAAAGATGTAGTGATCTTTGTCTCTCTTGATCAGTCTTGGCTTGAGGTCCACTTTGTCTACAAATAGAATAGCTACCTCTGCTTTATTCTGGATTCCTGTCACATAGAGTATTAATTTCCATCCTTTGACTTTCAGTCTATGCATTTCTTTTTGAATTAAATGTTTTTTTTTTTTTCTGTTGGGTCTTGCTTTTTGATCCATTTTTCTTTCTTATTTCTTTTTATAGGTGAATTGAGACTGTTTACATTAATGATTATAACTGATATGTATTGATTTATCTTTGCTATGTTCTTTTCCTGGTATTGGTTCCCTTTTTCCACCCTTTGTTTACTTGCATTTCCTGGTGCATTCATTCTGTTTGGGCTCCTAGTGTTGTAGTTCTTGTTATCTCTTTCTTAAATATACTTCAGAACATTTTGGAGTGTTGGTTTGGTGGTTATGAATTTCTTTATGTGTTCTTTGTCATGAAAATATCTTATTTCTCCATTAATTTTGAAAGATAGTTTTGTGGAGTACATCAGTCTGGGTTAGAAATTGTTTTCTTTTTCTTTTTTAAATTTTATTTTAAAAATAAAAGGAGGAAAACATTATCAGACAGACAACCTTTTACAAAATAGCAAAAGAACATTACAGACAATACAGAGTTACAAACAAAGTGGTAGGAAATTAACAATGCTTGTTGTATTACATATTGATATCTTCAAAGTGGTTAGAAATTGTTTTCTTCTAGGGCTTGAAATACTTTGCTCCAAGCTCTCCTTGACTTGAAGGTTTGTGTTGAGAAGCCTGCTGTGATTCTGATTGGCTTTCTTTTATAGGTGATTTGCTTCTTTTCTCTAAAAGCTTTTAATATTCTATTCTTGTATTGAATTTCTGGAACCTTGACTATTATATGCCTTCACATAGATTTTTTTTGATCATAGCTAATTGGAGTTCTATAGGCCTCAGTTAATCGTATGTCAAATTGTTTCCCCCTACTTGGGAAGTTTTCTGCCATTACTTCTGTGAACAGATTTTTTATGTTGTTTGCACTATTTTGTACTTTTCCATTGACTCTGATCAATCTTTTTTTTGTTATTTTTTTTGAGACAGGGTCTCACTATGTAGTTCAGACTGGCCTAAACTCACTATGTACCCCTTTCTGGCCTTGAACTTGCAGTGACTGCCTCAGCCTCCCAAGTGCTGTGATTACAGATGTATGTCACCATACCTGGCCTCAATCAATCTTATGTTTTTGAGGCTGCTTTGCATGAGTAGGAGTTGTTGGATGATTTTATTGGTGGTCTCTTGCTTTTTTTTTTTTTTTCTGGCGGTACTGGGAACTGAACTCACAACCTCATGCTTACCAGGCAGGCACTGTGCCACTAAGCTATATCCCCAGCATCCCTTGCTATTTTTAAGAAATTTTTCTTTTGATAATTATTTACTGCAATCCTGTCTTCTGTATCTGATATTCTGTCCTCACATTGACTCACTCTGCTGTGTATACTGTCAGTGACATTTTAATCTGGATATTTGTTTGAATATATTTCCTGGATTCCATTTTTTTCCTATGTAGGGCATTCATGGTTTCCATCATTTTCCTAAACTCCTGTAATTTTTTTTATCTGTATCTGCTTGAGAGTCACTAACTGTATCTTTTCTTATGGTCATCATATCTGAGAGATTATTTCTGATTTGATTTTTTCTAGAGCCTCATTCATCTGCTTTGTTACTTCCACTGTTGCCACTTCAGAGTCCAGGTAGGTGGTGTTTGAATTATTCTACCTTGCTACCCCCTGGGTTTGCCCTGGGTGAGGTGCAAGTCTGGGATTACATCTTGCTTAAGTGTCTTCTCATTTTCTTTCTCTTTCTTTTTTTTTTTTTTTTTTAAGGTGAATTCCTGTATTGATGCTTGTAAAATATCTATAGTGGATAGCTTTATTTTTGGTATTTAGAACTCTTAGGAAATGACTACGTCTCAGAGATGTCTTCCAAGTGAAGCTGCCTTTTGGGTTTTGAGTCTGTTACAAGATTCTACCTCTTCAATTTATTGGGGATGAGAAGTTGCTGTCTAGTTGGCTTAGTCTCTGGTTCTTTGGCAGTGGCTTATAGTATTATTTATGATTTTAGGCAATCTCAGTCTTGGCTTTCCAGGTAGAACATACTTGGCATACCAGGTTAGAACAATTATGACACCTTGGCTACAGTAGTACAATTAGCAATAACAATAGCATCAATCACTCCCTAAAAAAATGATAAAATTTTTTGGTAACTATTAATTTGCTACCTTTAACTGTATGGACTATATTTGCAGTTATATAACAAAATCTAAAACAACCAGAAAAGTGTATGCAGTAAATATGCCCTGCACATGGTGATTTTACCCCCAGGGGAGAAAATTTAAAAGGGTTTAGGGGGTAAAAATAGAAAAATAGAAGAAAAGGAAGAGATTAGAAGCAAGGCTGGAGGACAAAGAATGGTTACTCAAACTTTGAGAAACTGGTGGAGAATATAGGAGGGAAAGAGAAATAAAAAGTAAAAGAACAGAGCAACAACAAGGAAACTAGAAGCAATGTTCACACTCATAAAAACTAGAATAAACAATCAAGGGAAAAGAAAAAAAAAGAAAAATTTTCACTTCAGGGTGTGGCTTTGCTGTCACTGGTAGAAAGAGTAATGAGACAGAGCCTTGACTCATGCTGGTTCACCCCAGCAAGCCAGCAGTAGTTTTTTGGCAGGATAGTGGATAATCCCAGCAAGCCTGCACCTTTAGTTCAACTGAAGTTCAGGCCGGTTATTGGCTATGAGGCTGGATCCCAAGTTGTTCAGCTTACAGTGCTCCACATGCCTCCTGCCATCTTGAATTTGGCTCTGTATGGCTTGAACTCAGTTCCTTGACTTCCTGCCCACTTGAACTTGGCTCTGCCTTATCCTGACACTGGGAGCCACTAGATGGAGCTAGCCTGCAGCTGCTCTGAGTTCCGAGCTCAGTTGACCTCTTTCTAAAATGGCTACTGGCTAATCACCTTCTCCTTGGGGATGTCCAAACCTGAATAACTTACCAGCCACTACAGTCTTCTGGGTCCACTGCTCTGCTCCACTGGTTCATCTCAGTGGAGGAGTCTGGTGTTGCCAGTAGTCACTGTGTCTCTGCAGGTTCAAGCCATTCCCACCATGCAGCGAGCCAGGGCTCAGGGAGAAAGTGACTTTTGCCACCTCCTTCCTCTGCATGGAGGTCCCTTCACTCTCCCTATAGTTTTCAGTTCTCACTTCAGATCCTTGCTGGCTCCTGAGGACCAACTTCCCTCCTTGTTCTATTCTTCGCATTGGTATATCCCAGCATCTGGACACCAAATCTTGGAGAGTCTGTTTCTCTGCCTTTCATCACTCCACCATCTTCCTGAAAGTTTGCAATGGTTTTTTTCTTTAACTGTATTGTAGTTCTCACAGTTTCCTTCTTAACTTTATTGCTATATCACCAACTTTCTTTGCAGCCCCATGGTTATGATATTTTATGCTATTAAAGTGCAACCCCCCCCCCACAATTATGAATATTTAAACATTCTAACACAAGCACTATGTTGTCTAGGTAATCCTGGCACTTAGACTGAAGCATCTATTGCCCCTTTGTGCCTGTGGCAAGATGTCATTGTGACTGACTCTGTTCTGTAGGTTTTTTCAAGTCAGATTTTTAATTGGACTACTGAGCAAAGTTGCAAACACTGAGCAGATTTTTTTCAAACTTTGCTGTTTAAGTCATGTTAAATTTGAGCTTACAGCCATTTGACAACCAAGGTACCACTATAATCTGTTTCAAATGGTCATTCAAGAGTCCAGGATCCTTTGACCTTGGCTCTGATGTTTGGCAGTCTTGAAGTCGTCTGCTGGATTCTTTGATGTCCAGATGGCAGAGAGGAAAGAGAGTAAGAAGATAGATGATTTTGTAGTCAGTTCTTTTGGGGGCCCACACTTGAAATATCATTTCTACATATATTCCAAGAGCTATAACTCAAGTCATGGGACCACCCCTAACCACAAAGAATGGTGGGAAATGTACTCGAGCTATGGGTCAAGGAGGGGAAAAAATGGCTTGGTGAACAGGATCATCTCTGCCACATCACTGTCTTGTTTTCCAAGGAACTTCTGATGCCTTGACACAGGAAGACCTGAGTTCAAATGTTGGCTCTGCCATTGATTCACTTGGGAAAGTTATTAATCTCTCTGAGCTTTGGGCTTCTCATGTGTGAAGTAGGGATACCAGATGGATTGTTCTGAGAATTAAATGAGAATATCCACATAAAGCATTGTTGCTTAACCATATCAGACCCAACATACTTTTTTTTTGTCATTTTTGAGAGAGGGCTTCACTATGCAGTTCAGGCTGGCCTTGAACTCACTTTGTAGCCTGTGCTGGCCTTGAATTCACAGCGATCCTCTTGCCTCAGCCTCTCAAGTGCTGGGTATGTGCCACCATGCCCCAGCCCAATTATCCTTTAATTTATTTATTTTTTCCAGCTCTCCTTTTAATAACAGATATTTGAAATATTCCTTTAGTATCCTGAAATAAACATCATAGATACTTGTGTGTATAATTACTCACATTGCCTGATGGCCCCGGACTTGGGGGAATGTAAGGTCGGCTTGTAGACAGCACTAATGCCTACCACCTGTTGTGCCCCATTGGTGTTGAATGGGTAGAAGCTGAGCTTCCCACTGGGCTCTGCTGACCTGGGGAGGCAGTGGGACCAGCCACCTCTAGAACTGGATTATGTATGTATGCATTGCTGGTGGGCATGTAAGTTGGTGCAGCTCTTTGGAAGAAATGAGTATGGTAGTGAAGTTCTTTTCCTTTTTTCCTTCCTTCCTTTGTTCTTTTTGTGATACTAGGGATTGAACCTAAGGCCTTTGTACTAAGATACAACCGTAGCTCTTTATTCTTTGTTTTGAGACAGAGTCTTGATGAGGTACTAAGTTGCCCAGGTTAGGCTTGAATTTGAGATCTTTTTGTCTCATTCTTCCAGAGTTCTGGGATTATAGTTGTTCACCTTCATGCCCCACTTGGTGGTGAATTTTCTCATGGAATTCCACATACAATTCCCATATGACTCAGCAGTTACACTTTTCTTTATTGAGACAGGGTCTTGCTATGTAGTTCAGGCTGGCCTTGAACTCACTATGTAGCCCATGATGCCTTTAAACTATTGGTGACCCTCCTGTGTCAGGTTCCTGAGTGCTGGAATTACAGATATGTGCCACCATGCCTGGTTTTAGCAGTTGCAGTATTGGACATTTATTGCAGAGAAATGAAAGCTTATGTTCACACAAAAGCTGATATGAAAATGTTCATGTTCAAAACAGCCTTATTCATTACATTGTAAAACTAGAAACAACCTACATGTACTTCAACAGATGAATGGTTAGACCAGCAATGGTATACCTATACCATAGACTACCTTAACAATAAACAGGAAAGAACTGTTGATACATTGAGAAATTTGGGTGAATCTTCCGAGCATTATGCTGAATAAAAAAAGCCAATCCCAAAAATTACACACTGTATGATTCCATTTATACATGGAATCTTAGAAATGGTGAGCAAATTAATGTTTTTTGTTTTTTGTTTTTTTTGTCTTTTTGAGACAGGGTTTCACTCTGCAGTTCATGCTGGCCTTGAGCTCACTTTGTAGCCCAGGCTAGCCTCGAACTCACAGTGATCCCCTTGCCTCTGCCTTCGAATGCTGGGATTACAGGTGTGTGCCCTCATGCCTGGCTCACAGATTAATGATTTCTAGAGCTTAGGGACAGAGTTGGGGGTCACTAGTAATGGGAAGAAGGTGGGTGTCATTGTAGAGGACAGCAAGTGAGTCCTTGTGCTTGTGGACATGTTCTGTATCTTCTCCATCTCAGTGTCAGTATCCTGTTGGTGACACTGAGCTGTAGTTTTACATGATGTTGCTACTGGGAGAAGTTAGGTAAAGGGAACATAGGATCTCTGTGTTATTTCTTCAGACTGTGGGTGAATCTGAACTTATCTCTAACATTTAATTAGAAAAAAAAAGACAAATCAGGGTTACTACCACAAATGAAAATAAATATTACTAAAGCTACAAGTCTTTCTTAAGCATTTAGGTTCAGCTTGTGAGTCTTACAAATTTTATAAATACTTGTAAAGAGGATTTTGGAATTTGGTTAAATTCCCCTAAACCTTTTCAGGTACATTTTAAAATTTAATATATTCATTTTCATTTTTAAATAAGTATGTGTGTGATTATCAAAAACCCTTTGGATATTTAAAGAAGTCTTATATGTCAAATAAATAGACTTCATGTGTGGGTAACCTTATGTTCCCTTAAAAGTTCCTATAAATTACTCACATTTAATAAGAGTTTCTTAAGGCTTTCAACTTAAATCAAAATCCCATTTGTATGTTTAAAATTAAAACACAAGATTAACTTGTTAATTGTTGTCTCTTATACAATACAATTACATACCAGGTAAGTGCAGATATTCATACATTTAACACATTATTATTATTTTTTTGTCCTTTTGAGACAGTGTCTTGCTATGCAGTTCGGGCTGGCCTTGAGCTCACTTTGTAGCCCAGGCTGGTCTTGAACTTGCAATGATCCTCCTGCCTCAGCCTCTCGAATGCTGGGGTTACAGGTGTGCACCACCATGCCCAGCAACATTAATTTACTTCATCACCTCAGAACTTATTATTGAAATTTCCCAGGATTAAGGCTCTTGATCCATTAAAGAAATAGTATTAATTATTTTCCCCAAATGCACTTGGTATATCTGGAGCTGGGATTTTGGTGGCAACTGAGAACAGAGCTTCTTCCTCTGGGTAGCACTGCCCATGCTGGTGTGGGCCGGGCTGGAGGAATCAGGGACTCTGCACCTGTGCTCCAGCACTATCACTCCTGTCCAGCAGAGCCACAGCTCATGGAGGATTTAAGAGGCAGCAGAGTGAAGTTTTGCCTGGCTCCTGTGCCTCCTTCTGGGGCTGTGGTTCCAATTCTCAGGTTGTTACAAACTGTGTCCAGCACTGGAGATGGGGCAGGTGCTATTTATTCCAAACACTTGAAGGCAGAGTAACTTCTTGTTTAATCTTCTTGACAACCCTGTGAAGTAGTTGTGATGATTATTTCCACTTTACAGATGGAGGAACTGAGGAACAGAGTGGTCCTGTGGCCCACACAGGTCTCAGAGCTAGGAAGAGGCTGTGTCTTCTTCCTTAGTCTTGTTCTTCACCCTGCCTTGCCTGACGTTTCCATCAGTTCTGGAGGTGGGAGAGCAGGGATTTGAACTCCGGCCTGTGGGTTCTTTTAGACATGATTGTTAAGGGAAGGATGCTAAAGTGTTTATAATCCTTCATTAATTTAATTGCCATCCCCTGCTGTGACAGCAGCTGGCAGGGCACAGAGAGTGAGTTCTAGCTCTTCTGACTGGACAGTTGGGCGTAGGAGGTCTAATGTTTCTGTTAGATTCAGCCTTAATAGAGTACTTTGCAGCTGGGCATGGTGGCGTCTCCTGCAATCCCAGGACTTGGTAGGTTGAGGCAGGGGGATTGCTGCCAGTTTAAGACCAGCCTGGGCAGCTTGTTGAATCAAGGTTCAGATGCTTACAATTAAAGAGGAGTCTGCCTTGGCCCTCTGCCCCTCCACTTCCCTGTCCATCTGCACAGTCACTGCTTTCCCCTGGGCTGAGAGTGGGGCCTGGAGCTCTTGTGGGTTTTGTCCTCTGTCCAGCATCGCAGTGTCTGCCCACTGAGTGGGTGGGGCAGTGCCTGGAACCTCTCTCCTTGCGTTCCCTGGGAACTGGCCCCAGGCCTGCCTGCTCCTTCACCCTCTCCTTGTCTTCTCCTCTCTGTCCCCAGCAGTGTCCTCCAAGCTCACTTCGTCGGTGACAAGCCAGCTGCAGAATCCACAAGAAGGGCGCCTGAGGGAAAAACCACCCCCAGGAAAGATGCCGGCCAAATCCCGGCTCATGAGGGTATGAGGGGCATCTTCCCACGGGCCTGGCCCCGGGCAGGGCCAAGGCCAGGGCTGCAGCAGACGTGCTCTGAGCACCAGGCGTTTGCCAGACTCATTTCCTCCTCACAGAAACCCCATGGGCACGCTGTCTCCTTCCTGTTTCACAGAGGAGAAACTGAGGTTCAGGGAGAGAAGTGACTTGCATTAGGGCACACAGCCAAAAATGACAGAGCCAGGAGGCCAAGCCGGTTAAACAAAGCTGTTGCTGTTGTGTTTAGTCTCAGGAAAAGGCAGAATCACATTTTGTTACGCTGTACTTGGAACGCAGCCTAGTGGCTTATTGTAAACTTTCCAGTCTGTTGACCCTTGGGGAACACAGTGCGCGTTGACGCAGGCCATGGACGCTCCCCATCACGTTTTCCATCAGCTGAGGCCACTGTGCCTACTTTTCTTTTATGATGCATTGTTTTATGGATTCTATAGATACTAAATGTTATAAATACTATAAAATACTACAGAACGCTTAACTTCTCCAAGAAAGTTGTTTTTTTGAGGGGGTGTTGAGACAGGGTCTCACTGTGTAACCCAGGCTGGCCTTGAACTCGTGGTGATCCTCCTGCCTCAGCCTCCCAAGGGCTGGGATTATAGGTGTGTGCCACCACTCCTGGCAAGAAAGTTTGTGATGGTTCAGTGAACAGTGACTGTAAAGAAAAAGAGAATAAGTATTTGCTTTGAAATCACTTTTCCTACATTAGCCTTCAATTTTGCAAAATTATTTTTCAGGGCTTCAGCATTCTTAAGAAGAGGATTTTAGTTTCTGATGTAACTTTTATGCCAACTTGGAAGGGTTTATGTGTTTTTGTTTGATACAGAACCATGAACTTGGACGACTGAAATATAAACCTTATGCTCTAAGCCAGTTCTTAATAGTGTCTCTTGTAATCGTTCACTCATTCATTCATTTAGTCGACAGATGTTTATTGAGCACCTGCTGTGTGTCGGGCCCTGTTCCGAGTGTGAGGATTCACCAGTGATGTGGTCTCTGACCTCGGGAGCTCACATTCTAGTGGGGGTCAGCAGTGAAGACAAGTGTGTGTGGCTGGTGATGGTATGAGCTGTAGGGAGGCGGAAGAATGAGCTTAGGGCCAGAGAGGCACAGAGCAAGGGTGGCAGTGACCACTGCAGATAGCGTGGTCAGGGAAGGGCATTAAGGTGCTTTGAGACCCGAAGGCCATGAGAAAACAGCTGTGGACAGCTGGGGGAGGAGTGCTTCAGGCTGAACAACCAAGTGCAGAGGCCGTGGGATGGCGTGACTGGAGTAAGGGTGGTGGAAAAGATGGGGTCCAGCGTGCGGCTCTGGAGGCCGGGACCTGGCCTTGCCCAGCGTTTTTGTGCTGAGTGAGCTGGGAAGACTCAGACTCTGTAGATATTATTATTTTTTTCTTGTAGTGTTAGAGATGGGACAGAGGTGTGTTCTACCTCTGAGCTACATCCTTAACCCTTTAAAAAATAATTATTATTATTTTGGGGGATTGAACACAGAACTTTCACAATGAGCTTACATCCCCCCCTTTATAAAAAATTTTTGAGACAGGGTCACTCTTAAGTCCCTCGGTTGACCAGGCTAGGCTTGAATTTGCAACCCTCCTGCCTCAGCCTCCCAGAGTGCTGGGATCACAGGTGTATATTACTATGTCTGGTTTCACCTTGAATTCTTTGAGAGTGCCTAATATGTGCCAGACACTGTTCGAGTACTGGGGATGCAGACATGAACAAGACATTCAGAGTTTGTGTAGTTATGGGGCTTAGAAGATACATCCTAAATAAATTTTGAAAAGCACATATCTGTAATCCCAGCACTCTGGGAGGCTGAGGCAGGAGTATGGCATGTTTGAATCTGGCCTGAGCAACTTAGTAACTTAGCAAGACCCTCTCTTAAAATTAAAAAATAGAAAAGGTCTGGGATGTAGCTTGGTGTGGAGGCTATGGGTTCAATCCCAAGTACCTCAAAACAAGATATTCCCCTAAAACCCCCATAGAATAGTTTCCCATTAATTTATCCATCCCCTACTCACAGAGCTCCAGGCATTGTCCTATGTGCTGGCCATCTGGGTATGACAGAGCAGAGACAGCCCAGTCCTCCTGGCTGTGACACACTAGTAGAAGGAGATAAACAAGAAGGCAATAGGAAAATGTCTGTTAAGTTAGGTGACAGTCCTAGGAGAGAAACAAGTTGGGAAATATGGAAACAGAATCATAAGCTGTAATTACAGATTGAGATGTGCTACAGGGCTGCACCTTAGTGCTGGTGATCAGAGGAACCCATTGCTGAGCAGAGGTCATTACATCCTGCTGCTAGAGACTCGGCCGGGAGTGGGGCATGGGCTGATGGTGCAGGTTGCTGGCACCAGCCTCTGTGCGGCAGCTGTGGACCCAGCCCTGGAGGAGGGTGTTTTCCACAAGATGTTGCTGGAGATGGGGCGGCCAGAGAGTGGAGTAGCTAAGAGACCAGACCCCAAGGACAACGGCTCTGCTGTGTGTGACCATGGTCCATTCCTGCCTCTGATGCTGAGGTCCCGTTGTCGTAAGTGCCTGGGGCTTGCAGTCGCCCTCCTGGTGGAGGCCATGCAGAGGTAAGGGTACAGTGCTTGACGAAGTGCTCAGTACCCAGTACTCAGCATAGCTGCGTGTTCCTGGGAGATCAGGAATGCAGAAGCTGAGGGCTGGGAAGGTGTAGGTTCTAGCAAAGGACAGATGAGGAAGAGCAGAAAGAATTAAGAGAACCAGTAGGCCAAGGGGAGAGGGCTAGCGCCAGAGAGACTTGTACGTTTTTGTTCATGGAGTGCACAGTGAGCATGCTGGGCAGTGCCATTAAGTGGCTTGACTGTGAATTTTATCTCGTTCATTTTTTACAGCAGCCCTCTGGAGCATGTATAGGTTATTGGCAGCATTTATATGATGGGCCTCTGGGAGGGTCACGAACTTGTTTAGGTTTCCTTAGAGGGTAAGTGGTAAACTGGGATTTGGAGCAAGGTGTGTGTAGGCCTGATGTCCAAATCATAGTCACTGCCTGGTTCACCCACTCCTGGCAATTTTAAGCCCACTGAAATCTTGTCTTAGCGTGTGGAAAGATGGACCCTGGGACTCAGAAGTCTGGCTTCAATTCCAGCACTGTCACTTGGCTGTGTGACACTGAACAATCATGTAAGCTCTTTGAGCCTCCACTTACCAGAGTGAGTTTGTGAGCCTAGGGTGGAGGATGAACTGATGCCATGTGTCACCTGCATAGCGCCTGCCCTGGCATGTAGTGGGCCCTCAACAGTGGTCATTACTGTTGTTATTATTGTCTGTTTTCTTACCTGTGGGATGTAACCTTGGCCAAGTCACTTACCCCCTCACATCATTGTTCCACAAGGGCCTTTCATGATGGGCCAGGAAATGATGGCTGTTACCACCCACTCAGCTTCTCTTGCTTCTCTTCCAGACCCGGCCCATCCGCTGTCACTTTCTTATTCATCTGGGGTGTTTGTTATTATCATTATATCATCACCATTACTGTCATCCTAATAGAATATTTCATGGATTCTTGGAAGCCCTTGACCATACTTGTAACTTTATTTTCCTACTAATATTTGTCAGTTAAATGGTGATGTGCCACCAAGTGAACCACGCCTTCCCACCTGGGAGACGTGAGACTCTGGAAAGTGCGCATTTCCAAGGGGATACAAGGGTCCCTGAGTGACTGAGTTTTAGGCACCCTGTGCACAGACAGTGGGGAGCCCCTGATCCACATGGGATACATTGACTGGGAGGCTGCATGGGGTGTAGGTGGTGAGAGGGAAGATCCCCAGGCTCTGTAGTCTCTGGCCCCAGCACAGCACCACCTCACTTTCCTGTCCATGGCCACAGATGATGCTACGGAACCAGCGGAACTTGCTCCAGGATATCTGCAAACATGAGCACTTCCTCACCGAGCAGAATGAGGAGGTGGTCAGGACCATCCTGGACACAGAGGCCAGCACAGCCCTGCAAGTGCGGGCCATGCTGCAGCAGGAGGACATTGCCGTGGTGAGCCCTGCCCTGCACCTTCTCAGCTCCCAGCTCTCTTCCCATTGTGACCCCAGGTGAGCTCTGGCCACCTACCTGGGCTTGGAATCATGTCCAAGTGGGGCTTTGTAAAGTGGGGCACACTAGTGCTCCCCTCAAAGGGAAGTTGTAGGCACCACACATAGTACCTGTATAAGAGGAAGTAGCTGCCACTGTTCCAGCCATTGGTACTACTCTTCCAGCCATGGCTGCTGCAGCAGATGCTTTCACAGCGTAATACTAAGTGCTTTACATCTGTTCACATGGTCTTTTTTGTTTGTTTGTTTGTTTTTTTCCAGTACTGGAAATCAAACTCATGACCTTGCGCTTGCCAGGCAGGCGCTGTGCTGCTGAGCTAAATCCCCAGCCCAGGTTCACATGGTCTTTACAACAACTCTGTGAGGGGTGCTGTTACTATCCCACCTTCATATAAAGTAATGAAAAGGCAGAAAGGATAAGTGACTCGCTTAGAGTCACCCAGCTAGCAAGGATCAGAGCTGGCACTTGAACCCAGGCAGTCTGACCCCAGGGTCTGTGCTCTTCATACTCTGAGCATGCGCAGCCTGGGGGTGACACTTTTGGTCTGAGGGGAAGAATGACTTTACAGAGCCCAGGGAGCTTCTCTGCCTCCCTAGGGGGATGTGGTGACATTGGTGAGAGGGCAGGAGGTTCCCAAGTGGCCCAGAAGTTGGGGCTGGAGAAGAGACAGGGAAATAGCTGAATGAAGTAATTTCTCTGTTGGCAATCTACCCAGGGAGGAGTGGGATGGAGCTCACTGAGTCTGAGGGTTGCAGAGGAGATTGAGGCTCCTCAGGGATGTATTAGTTGCTGTATCCATCATTCAGTCCTCACTGAGCTTGATGAGGAAGCACCCCGGCTGCTTTATAAGATGTCATGGACCAGGCAACTTCAACAACGGAAATTAATTTCTCATGTTATGGAGACTGGGAGTCCAAGATCCTGGGCTGGCAGTTAGGTTCTGGTGCAGCCTCTCTTCTGGCCTGCCTGAGGCTGGCTTGCTATGACTTCCAGGCTTCCTTTCCTCTGTGTGGATGGGGTGAGCACTGGTGTCTTCTCATGAGGCTGTCAGCTCTGCCAAATGAGGTCCCACCCTTTTGCCCATCCTTAGTCCCCTGCCTTAAGGCCCTGTCCCCAAATACAGTCCCACTGAGGGACCAGGAATTCATCATAGGAATTTTAGCAGGGTTCAAGGCCAAGGACATACAGCCCAAGAAAATAACAGAACATTCTCCAAATCTTCCTGTTGGTCCATTTATCCTTTGTTGTTGTTATCTTTGATGTCCCCTATGAACCTCTGGAACAGCAATTGTGAGACACCTCATCCATATCAAGCCCTTTTTCCAGGGGGCCACAGGCAGTTAGAAAGCCTTGTGTGTGTCCTGTGCTGAAAGTGGGGGACTTGCAGAGCCCAGAGGGGACCGCTAATCTAGACATGTGAGCACCAGGAAGTCTTCTTGGAGAAAGTGATAGCTGGGCTGAGATTTGCAGAGAACGTGTTAAACTGACGAGGGAACAGGTGCCAGAGCCTGGGGTGAGAGGCAGCATAGCTGACTCAAGGATCCACATGATGCTGTATAAGGCCGGATAGAAAGGTAAGAGGGAGGAGTCGACTTGGGTCAGATCAAGGAGGGCCTTTGTTGGGGGAAGGATAGGAAGTGACTATTATCTAGCTTCTGGCCAGGTTGCAGGTCCTGGGAGTAGGATTGGGACTGGGGACTCCTCTGAGGGTGTGGTGAGTTGCCACAGCTGGCTGGGAGCCTGAGGGCCAGCAGAGGCTGGGGTGAGCTGAGCCCACTACTCCTGCAGAACATGATGGACATCTTGGAGTACTCAAACAACAAGCTACAGAAGTCGAAGTCTGAGCTTCAGGAGTGGACAGAAAAGGAGGAGCGCAAGAAGAACAGTAAGAACCCTGGGGGCAGGCTTCTTGGCCCTCACCCCTGACCCTTTGGGGAGGACAGCTGCAGGGCATTCACCTGCACCTTCCTTTCAGAGCCCATTAGCCCCTTTTTTCCCTCCTTGGCAGATGGAATTACTGAGACACAGAGTTTAGAGCTTAATTTTTTCAGAATTTAGCACATTCCAGGCTCCAGGTGCCTACATTTTCTTGGTCCGTGTATACTCAGTCATTATAGCCGCCTGTGGTGCAGGGACTCTTCTCCCATTTTACAGATGAGGAGAAGGACACTAAGGGAGGTGGAGGAGCCTCGTGAAGGTTCTACAGCTTGAAGCCAGAATCCAGTCCTAACCTGGCTGTTCCCTGTCAAGGTCCCTCTGGGAGTGACCTTGGTCTGCTGGCTTTCATCTTGCAGGGCTTGTGGCTTCCTGCTCCTGAGCAGATGAGATGCTTTTTGGGTGTGACAGGCAGGCTCCGACATGGGGGACCCCCTCCATGTGGGAAGGCAGGGTAGACTTTGTCTCAGTCCTGCCAGGGATCATGTCTTGGGAGCCAGTGTCACCCTTCTCCCTGGTCTCACTGGCCTAAAGATATGGCACCAGTTTTATTTCTCTTTATTTCCCAGCACTGCCTCACCTCCTGCAGGCCTGGTTGTTTTTTTTTTTTTTTTTTTTTTTTTTTTTTTTTTTTTTTTTTTTTTTTTTTTCTTTTTTGTTTGAGATAGGGTCTTGCTATGTAGTTCAGGCTGGCCCTGAGCTCACTTTGTAGCCCAGCTTGGTCTCGAACTTGCAACGATCCTCCTGCCTCAGCCTCCTGAGTGCTGGGATTACAGGTGTGCACCACCATGCCCGGCCCTCTTGCAGGCCTGGGGTGCTGCCTGGGGGCTAACTTTTCACTTCCTCACAGCCTTTTGTGAGCTCACCTCAGCTCAGACCCTACTCCATTGACTAAGGAGGGCCTAGTCTCCTGGGAGTAGCCTTTGAGGGGAGGCCCTGCTCCTGTCCCTCCAGCCTCCTCTCCCTGCCTCTCCCCAGGCCTGGAACAGCAGGCAGAGCAGCTGAACGCTAGAATCAAGAACACCCAGGAGTTGGTGAGCTTCCTGAGCACGTACATGGACCATGAATACCCCATCAGGTCAGTGCAGATTAGCAGCCTTGTGCGCCAGCTGCAGCAGGTAAAGGACAACCAGCAGGTAAGGGTGCTTGCCACTGCCCTGGAGCACGTGGGAAGTGGAGCTGGCGGCTCACCCCTAATGCTGGCCCCCAGGAGGAGCTGGATAACCTCGGTGAGATGCGCAGAATGGTGCTGAAGGCTCTGTCCAACAGAAAGCAGGAGAAAAAGAGAAAAGTTTGGAGGTCTCTGGTGGTGGTGAGTCACCAGCTGTTGTTATGGGTGGTGGTTAGTCACCAGCTGCTGTCAGTGCTGCCCCAGTCCTGATTTCCTTATTTTCCACCTCTAGCCCTCTGGGCTGCCCCTGCCCTGTATCTGCCATGTATTGTTGCCCAGAAAGAGGCACTTGAGACAGACCTCTCCTTTGTCCACAGAAAACCCAGCGCCCTCGTGACAAGATCCTTCGCCAGGTGATCCAGGACAGCCAGTACCAGCAGAAATGCATGGTCAAGTGCAGAGAAGTGAGTGGATGGGAAGGCCACGGTCCCTTCCAGGCTGTGGGAGACAGGCTTTCTCCTTGCCAGTGCTTCCTGTCACTCACCATGGGTCTGGGAACAGGGTTCATGCTGGTCTAGGCCTTGCCTCAGTGGCCACCATCACTGGCTGTGAGCCATTATCAGTGTCTTCAGGCATCTCCCGCTCAGCCACTGTGCACCCCTCAGTTCTCACCCCTGAGCCCCATGCTCTGTCAGTGCTAACAAGCTTTGGTGTCACCACCCCCGACATGGGTTTTATTTTTATTTATTTATTTATTTTTATTATTTTTATTTGTTTTGTTTTTTTTCTGGTACCAGGAATCGAACTTATGACCTTGCACTTGCCAGACAGGCGCTGTGCCGCTGAGCTAAATCCCCAGCCCCCTCAACATGGGTTTTAATCATCTCACACCTTCACGGGTTCTCAGTGAGTGCCCTTCCCCAGCCAACTGCCATTTATCCTCAGGGCAGGCAATGAGATTCTGTTCCCCATGGACCCTCACCTTTCTCAGCACCATCAAGTGTGGCAGTAACTTGGGAGCCTGCCCATCCTGCCCCGGGAGGCCCGCATGTCCCCGTGACGAGGCCATGTCATTTCCCCAGAGATTGCTGCACCTTGTGCATTTCACCCTGTCCTCCTTTCGATTGGGGCCACTTGGCATCTCACTTCTCCCCCGCGGTGCTTTTTCTTCAGCTTATTGACCAATCGAAGGGGACAATGCCCACATTAAGGGCTGACGTGGAAGCACTCCAGGCCCAGGTCCGGGATCTGCGGGAAGTCATTTTTGAGGATGTTCTGCTTCGGAGACCCAAGTATGTGCTCTCTGTGCAGCTGCCTCTTAAACTGTGCTCCACGAGGCTCTCTTCCCAAGGAAGGCAGCCTGGTGTAGATGGTAGAGCCTGGTGCAGGGAGGGAGGAGGCTTGTGTGTCTACCCCAGCTCTGTCACTGGCCACAGGCAGGTGTGACCTTCCCATCCCTGGGGTTCATTTTCCCGTTGGGACACAGCAAGCTAGTTTAAGTCATCTCTAAGGAGCCTCTGGTTCTCAGATTCCCTGTATCAGCTGGGTGGGTTGTTGAGAAGGCAGAAGTGAGTGGGGTGATTTTTTCCAAGGAAAAGTCATGGCCTAGAAGATACAGGGTTCTGTGCCCCAATGGAAGAACTTCTTTTCTTCTGAAATCATTTGTCAGCCAGGTGCACTGCTGCATGACTGTAATCTCAGCACTCAGGAGGCTGAGGCAGGAGTATGGTGAGTTTGAGTTTAGGCAGGCCTACAAAGCAAGTTCAAAGCTGACCTGGATTACCTTGATTCAGCCTCCCTTCTCTCCAACAAAAACAAAAACCTAGGGGCTGGGGATTTAGCTCAGCGGCACAGCGCCTGCCTGGCAAACACAAGGTCATGAGTTTGATTCCTGATACCGGAAGAAAAACAAAACAAAACAAAAAAAAACCAAAAACAAAAGCCTTACAAAATTTCAAACCAGTTCTTCGCCTGCCCTTTCTTGGATCAGCCCCTGTGTGGTTAGACTGGGAGTCCCCAGGCCAGACTTCTGCATGAGGCACCATAGATTCCTGTGTAAACAGAGCCTGGCATTTGCAAATTATTTACTTTCTTCTGTGTCTCTATGTCTGCTTCCTTTTCTCCCTTCCTTTTCTTCTGCTCCTTCTCTTCCCTCTCTTCTTTCTTAAAAAGTAACACTGTTCAATGATGAAGTGCCAGGGACCATGTGGAGGACAGCAAACCTGCCACTGCACCACAGAGCCAAGGTGTGAACTGGACCTTAGTGGACAATAAAGCACAAATGTCAAGTTGGGACTCAGCCAAGAACCGCTGAGGAGAGGCCTGTAGTGCTGGAGAGTGTGTCCCAGGGCAGTGAATGGGGCCATCAAGAAGGTTTCCCTGAGGATGTGGCATAGGGCTCCCCAGGCAAAGGAGCTGGAGAGAAGTGAAGGGTGAATGATGCCAGAGGGCAGTGCCAGGTCCCTGGGGATATCATAAGATGGCACCTACTGCCTTCACCTGAGTTCTGCACATGTTGAGCTAAGACTGAAAGAGGCAAGCCCAGTGTAGGCTAGCTCACCACTCATACTCCGCTAAAGCTCACGTGAGAGAATGCAGCTTATGTCTGCAGACCTTTTGGCTTCCTAATGCCAAACCCAGAATGAGGCAGATTGAGCCACCCAGCCATGGTGGATCTGGACATCCGGCCCTGGGAACAGAGGCAAGTGTGGTCCTTGTGAGGGGCTTGTGGTTGAGACAAGGGACTGGGCTTCTGAGGCCCCTGTTTTCCAGACTCCTTATTCAGGTAGTCCACCCCTTTTGCAGCAGCAGAGAGTAGAGGGGGCAGAGAGGCCAGGAGCAACAGCCTCACCGATGCCTTGTGTGAGGAAGGGAGTCCCAGGCACAGGAAGCAGCTTTCTGTGCCAAAGTGGGAAGGGCTTGCTGCTGGGCAGAGCCACTCCAGCTACAGCATGCAGAGCAATCCCATGAGACTGCACTGAATGTGTTGAATAGCAGATTCCAAACCAGCAGTATGCAGGAGGCTCATGGTGCTGCTTCCCAGATGTGTTCTTGGATGCTGCTGCTGTTCTGTGGGCCACACACTGAGCAGTGAGGTGAGGACGGGTGGGAAGGAACTCTGAGTGATGGGGGAGTGGTGGGCAGAAAGGAGCAGGCAGCTCAGACCCTGGGGCCTCTGGGCAGTGCGCAAGCTGTGGTTTGTACTTTGCCCCAAAAGCAAAGGATTTGAAGTTAAGTGGTGCCATGGTCAGATTTGTATCCAAAAAATCATTTTTGGAGATGAGATTGGAATGGAGCCAGAGTGGGAGCTTGAAGTTGGGTCAGGTGCAGTGGTCCAGAGGAGCCTGGTCCACTGGGTGGCAGAAGAGATGGAAGCACAGCTGGGCTGGAGAAATATTTTACTTTATTTTTTTTTTTCCCCAGTACCGGGAATCAAACTCACGACCTTGCGCTTGCCAGGCAGGCACTGTGCCCTGGGCTGGAGAAATATTAAAGGGGGGAAATCTGTAGGGCTTAGAGATGTTTAGACATTGGGGGGAGAGAGAGGGTGGCTTCAAGGACAGCCCCTAGTTCCTGGCTTCTGGAACAGGGGGATCTGGTGCCAAATCCAGAGGTAGGGAAGATGGGCTGGGTGAGGGAGGTGTGGTTAGGTGCAGTCAAGACTTGACTTGAGTGGCAGAGCGGTTTACAGGGGATATCTGTGTGCCGCCACCAGATACGTAAGTGTGGACCTCAAAGGACAGAGATGCACAGGAGACAGAAATTTGAGTGTCACCAGTATAGATGAAACTTTTAAAAACTATTATGAAAACTTTCAAAGCCAGGTGTGCTGGCACATGCCTATAATCCCGGCACTGAGAGTGAGGCAGAAGGATCACCATGAGTTCAAGGTCAGCCTGGCCTAGGTAGGGAGACCCTATTTTAAAAACAAAGCAAAAAAACAGTGGAGGGAGAATGTAATACTCTAGCTTCTTGCCTGTCCATGCTGGTCACTGAGATTGGGGACTGTCACTGAGATTAGGGACTGTTACTCCTACTCTCTCCTGCTCTTTCACTGGGAAGACTAATGCCCAGCATCTCCTGCGCACTGATCATAGGCTGGCACTCGATGTAGCCTCATGGGCCCTTCCCACCAGTGGCTGAGCTTGCGATTATCACCCTCATTGGACAGAAGAGGAAACTGAGGCTGGCCTGCAGCCTGGCACATAGTGCCGTCCTGTAGGTGCCCACTGGAAGCAGGAAGGTTGGAGGAGAAGTAGCTTGCTCAGCACTTAGTGTGAGTTGTGCCATCTCCTAAGAGTGAAGAGCGATTGTCCTGAGGGGTCTTAGTCCTCTTTAGGGGAATGTCACTCTCACCGAACTCATTTCTCTTCCACTTCTGATGTTAGTGTCTGTGCATGTGCGTGTGCGCACTCACGTGTGTGCCCACCTGTGTATGTATGCCTAGTTGGTCGCAGGTTTTGGGATGGGCCTTCCAGCAAGCACCAGTGTTCAAAGAGCAGGCTTCCCCTGGGAGTGTGCCCACACCCTTTAGCTCTGGCACCCTCATGGTCCTTCATACTGCTCTGCTGCCTCCTTCCAGGTGCACCCCAGATATGGACATCATCCTCAACATCCCTGTGGATGAGCTGCTCCCCTTCTAGATGGCTGAGCTGTGGCCCCCGCTCTGCTGTCTCCCCAGCACCTGGAGCCCTCCTCAGTTTACTTCCAAGGCCGCATCTCCATCCACATCCTGGTCTGCAGTCTCCCGCCTTCCTGCCTACAGCTTTTTTCTTCTCTTTCTCTTCCTTCTTTCCCATTTGGTGCTGCTCCTTGGGCCAGGGGGGACTTCTGTTAAATCTGTTATTCCTTTCTATGAATAAAGCTGGATTTGCGTTTGGTTTGTGCTGGTGCATGGGGTCCCCAGATAGGCCTGCAGGAGATGTGGCAGGAATGGGCTGTGCTGACTGCATCTGGGGCCAGACCTTCCCCAGAAGAGCTGCTGGGTGTTGCCCCCTCACAGGTCTCCATGGCTTCCTCCTACTGCAGGGGAGGTTACAGCCAGCTCTGCATTGTAGACCTGCTCTGCCCAGGTGCCCCTCCAGCGAGGATGTGAGGGCACTGTTGGCGGGTCTCCTGCAGGGGTCGCCCCTGGCCCGAGGTCCCGCACCTTACATTCAACAACCGTGTGATGTGCAAAGGCCCAGACATCTTGGTCCACTCGGAACCATTCTGAAGGGCTGTTTTAGCCCCAGGACCCCCTGGGCATTGGCTACAGCTGTCTGGCCTGTACTGCAACCCAGCTTCTCTCTCCAATCCTGCGCACATCTCCCTTCCTCACCAGCGCTCCCCAGGGCTGCCTTTGCTTCCCTCTCACAGCTGCTTTCCCTGGGGACCCAGGCTGCATGGCTCTTAAAAGCCTCCTGCCATCTAGGACTTATTTTGTGTGTTGGGACTGGGTTAGAGATAACAGAACACCCAGCTCAAATTGATCTAAATAACAAGGGACTCAGGTGAGAGTCCAGCTGACGCTTTACCAGAAACTATGTTATGTCAACAAGGTCAGCACTGCTTTGGTCCCAGTATGCCAGCATCTTCTAGGCTTGTGTGTGCTGTGCTGGGAGGAGACAGTGGCCCTGTTCCAGACTTCTCAGCCAAAGTCTGAATCCACTGTGACTGGCTCTGCTTAGAGCACATGCCCACCTGGAGCCAGTCCTGAGGGGGAGAATGTCTACTGGTTCCGTCTGGGTCATGGGCTGTACCTTGCAGCTGAGGAGGGAGGCATGTGGCAAGCCACCAGGCCTTCTCCAGGGCTGTTTGGATCTCCAAACAGATTGGCTGTGGTGGGTGTAAGAGCGAATACTTACTCTGCTTTACATGAGCTCATTAAATCTTCATAAGAACATCCTGATGAGGTAAGAGTTGCTATCATTTTACAGATGAAGAAAGGAAAACGTGAGGAGGTGATTTTCTCAAAGTCCCCAGGTTAGGAATATAGAGCAATTTGATTTAAGTGTGACGCTGCTGAGAGCTCAGCTGAGCAGCAGATCTCAAACATCAGCTTCCTTGATCACATGGGTGATGCTATGGCTTGAAAGTTTGTGCCTCCAAAATTTATGTTGCAACTGAGCAGCCAATGTAATGTATTAAGAGGTAGCCTTTTGGGAAATGATGAAGTCACGAGGCTCTGCCCTCACAATGGGACTAGTGCTCCTGCAGACAGGCTTGAGGGAGTGAGTTTGTCCCTTTTGCCCTTTATAACAATTTCTTTTCTTTTCTTTTTTTTCTCCTGGGTGCTGGGCATTTATTTTACAACAGAACCATTGGGACGCTGGCCTGGGGCACATGGCTGCAGACGTGGTGGGACATGAGATGACAAGCACGATGATCAGAGCTGGTGTCATGGGCTCCAGGTGGCCCTACTGGCATCTACAGAAGAGGTGGTGGGAGGGGACCTAACTATCTGGGCCCGAGGCGTGGGTGCTGGCCTGCCTCGGCCTACTTGCCCAGGGGGTTCTGAAGTTCCGGCTGGTGAACTTGGCCTTGCTGCCCGGCTCCTCCTCAGTTCTGAGGACTGGTTGTACTTGGCCAGGTGCTCGGATGGGCACAGTGCACTGGCGGCCTTAATCTGCCCAGTGCTGAGCCCCATCATCAGGTCAGCGATGAAGGTGTCCTCAGTTTCCCTCAACTGGTGTGGCACCATGACACCCCAGCCACTGGACTGTGCCAGCTTGCTTGCATGTCTGCAGGGACTTGATCACTGAGCCAATCTGGTTGACTTTGAGCAGCAGGCAGTTGCAGGTCTTCTTGTTCACCGCCTTGGCAGTGTGCTTTGGGTTGGTCACTGTGAGGTCGTCGCCCCACTATCTGGATGCCAGCACTAGCCGTGAACTTCTGCCAGGGCCCCCAGTCATCCTGGTTAAAGGGGTCCTTGATGGATACTGCTGGGTCATCCCTGATGAAGGACTTGTAGAGATCACCCAGCTGGTTGGGCGAGATGTACCAGCTGGGGTTGTCGGGCGACTTGAAGTCCAGGTTGTACTTCCTGGACCTGAAGAACTCAGATACAGCCCCGTCCATGCCAGTGACCAACTTGTCCACGTAGCTGGCCTTCCTGATGGCGTTTTTCAGCAACTCCAGGGCTTCCTTATTCTCCAGGATGTTGGGCACCCTCGTCGCCCATGTTGGTGGCATCCTTGCCGTACTTCTTGATGACGTTCTTCAGGTTGTGGTGGACCTTGGCCTTGAAACACATGGGCGCCTTGAATCTGGCTGCACCCACGGGCAGGACCACGAACTCCTGCATGGTCAGCTTACTGCTGGCGTTCGAGCCACCGCTGATCATGTTGAAGGCAGGGACCTGCAAGATGACCTCAGCTGCCCCCCAGGTCAGTGATGTGGCAGTACAGGGGTGCCAGCCTTGCACACCACGAGAGACACCCCCAGGATGGCATTTGCCCTGAACTGGGATTTGTTCTCCATTCTGCCCATCTCGATCGTCGGCTTGGTGGTCTTCTCCTGCTCCACAACATTCAGTTTCCTGCTAACTAGGGCAGGTGCAATAGTTTCATTGATGGCTCAACAGCCTTTGACACACCCTTGCCCAGGTAGCAGATCTTGTCATTGTCATGCAGCTCCAGAGCCTTGTAGACGCCAGTGGAGACCCCAGTGGACACAGCAGTTTGGAAGAGGCCTTTGGAGGTGTAGAGGTCAGCTTCAACAGTGGGGTTCCCATGAGTCAAAGATCTCTTGGGTGTGCATCTTGAGATGTTGGATTTCTGGCTATTGGATCTTGTTGCCCAGGAAGGAAGGAGAGGGTGCTACAGACATGGAGGTGAGCTGTAGCTCACTTTAAATTGTTAAAGTCTAACAATTTATTTTCTAAAGTGATTTATGTCTTCTCTACTTTCTCCTTCCATTTCTAAAGGCCACTTGTGATGACAGTGGAATCCCAGATCATCCAGGACAATCTAATCCCCCACTCTTGGAGTCAGCTCCATTTGCAGTCTCAATTCCCCTTTGCCATGGAACATACTACTCAAAGGTCCCCGGATTTAGGACGAGGACATCTTTGGGGGAGCATTCTGCCTACCACACAGGCCATAGCTCACCTCAAAAGAAGCCCCTGGTCCTCCACACCAATAGATTCTTCCACTCAGGCCCTGCCAGCGTTCTGGCAACATCGGAGGGGGGCATCAGGGCCTAAGTTTGCTTGTGCCCTAGTCCTTGAGCCATGTCTGGGACACACTTCCTTCCTCCCTTACTCTACACAACCCAAGTCCACACTGCGGTGGAGGCCGGAGTTCACCCCAAATGAATCATGTCCTGACCAGCTTGTCCAGGGAGCCATCTCCTCTCAGTGAGCCATCTCCTCTCAGTGCGCCATCTCCTCTCAGCGCGCCTCCCACACTCCCCCTTGCGGACAGACTTGGAGCTTCCAGCTCTTCTGCTTTGCCCACCCTCCTTTGCTAAGCAACTGGTGGAAGTGTGGGGTTTTTTTGTTTATTTTTGTTTTTGTTTTTTGGAAGTGTGTTTTAGTTAGGTAGCAGGATAGGCTATAGAGAAGTAAAGGATGAATTGGGGGTGGGAGGGTGGTGAATTAATTTCTGCAACAGGCTAAGAATTGGGAAATACTTCTGTCATTGCTGGATATCTTTTATTTCATTTTATTGCTTTTTTTCCTTGGCTAGAGCCTTCAGTACAATTTGACCACTGAGCTGCAAGGTGGCAGGTGGCCTTGACACCTATGTATATGTCTACATGGGAAATGGGAAGTGGTGGCAGGCTCTGTGTCTGGAGACATAACAGCTGTGCAGTGGCCTGGGTGAACTGCACAGGAATGTCTGGAAGGTCAGTAGGGGCAAAAGGCAGAGAGGGAAGCCGCAGTGGATGCAAGGGCTGACCATATGCAGGAAGCCAGAACTTGTTTAGCTTTCCTGTTGCTGGGACACAATATGTGCCACCCACAACGTAAAAGGGAAGAGGTTCAATTCGGCTCGGGGTTCAGGGGATTCAGTCCGTGGCCTGTAGCTCCAAGGCAGAAACATCATGGTAGAAGCATGTGATGAGGCAAAGTTGTTCATTTCATGGAGGCCAAAAGCAGAGCAAGGAACAGTCTCAGAGAGGAAGGGGAGAGGGAAGATATACAGTACTTAAGGCCACACCTCTATAACTCACAAGAATGTGCTTTACTCATCTACTAGGTATGTCTTAATTTAGTTAAGTTTTGTTTTTGGTACTGGAATCGAACTTATGACCTCGCGCTTGCCAGGCAGGCGCCGTGCCGCTGAGCTAAATCCCCAGCCCCCTTAATGAAGTTGACATATCATGATTAACAGTCGCAACTTTTAATGGCACAGACAGATAATCAGGATGTCTCTAGAGCATTTAAGAAGATGCAAAGGTTCCCCAAAGTGGAGAATTTAGTATAATCATGATTATGGGTGGGCACACTTGGATGAACGGGCGTTATTTTTAATTTTTATTCTTAAATTTATTTATTTTTACTTTTTGAGACAAAGTCTTGTTATGTAGTTCAGGTTGAACTCACTGTGTAGCCCAGACTGGCCTTGAACTCACTGTGATCCTGCCTCAGGCTTCTGAATGCTGGGATTACAAGCATGTGCTACTACTCCTGGTTTATTTTTACTTTTTAGTAGGAGTGTTGGAAATGCATATCCTGGGGCTTGGTGAGTGGGGCTGATATTGGGTAAGTGGAAGTCTTAAGCGATTCCCTGTCCTAAGGCTCATCTCTGTGTCTTGTGAAGTAAAGCGTGTCCTCTGTTTGAATCTGTTGTTGTGTCTGGGACCCCAAATGGAACTGTCAGGATTCTGGTAAATCCCAACGTGGCTTCCAATAAAGCCAACCTCAGCGTGGACCATGGCGAGGGTGTACCACG